GCAATGAATGAACAACGTCCAAAAAGCTAAGCCCCGCCACTTGGATATTGTTGATGTAGGTCCAAAACGTAAACACGTGTGTTTGTGAGGCAAGCACGTTTTCCGGTTCTGTTTAATCTGTTAATTTTGAATGACACTGCTAAAAGGGGAATTTCGTTGTTCATATTTCGTCATAATATTATTTATTTTGTGTTTAGAAACGTAAATGAAGAATTAAAATATTTGTACTACAGACCGACAGTACTGTATTGTTTAGACCTATTCGAATTCAAACATTTCCTGCATGCGACGCCCTAGTGGCAAGGGAATATCCGTCTTATTCTTCTTCTAAGATTATTAAAAGTGTGTATGTTTTATTTCATTCTCAGATGAAACGGCCATGGCGGTAATGGCACTGCATTGTGTACTCCGCTCTGTCAATCACAATATTAGAACTATTGTATCCCATGCCATAAGTGATGCTGAACATGCGTTGCTGTCATGGCAACAAGAAGATGGCAGCTTCGGAAACATACACAGCACTGCATTGGTTGTTCAGGTAAGTGTTTCTTATGTTAATTTAAAAACGAAACAAATTTTAACGTGTCGCTTAATACATGTGTGTTACACGAGTCTGTTACATTACTTAGTGTCTGATTTTATCAAACGTTACTTAACTTTCACCAGGCGTTGACGTCTTCCACGAAATACACACCAAAGCAATGGTACTGCAATGATACGATGCGCAGTCTCCTGGCTGGTCAGGACAACTCTGGTTCATTTGGGAGTCTTGGAGCTACTGTCAGTGTTCTTCCGGCTCTTGCTGGTCAACATTTTGGAAGACTAAAATACCTCGACCTTTCGTGCAAACAGAGTTAGTGACTGAAATAAGGCCACATGTGCCGTATCATTTTCATTTATTTTTAGTTTTGTATGCATTTACAAGCCATACGTTTGATGGTTAAAATTTCTCTCTACTTCGAATCTTATAAATCCTGGTTGAAGTAGAGAGGGGCGGGCAGCTGCACCCCAGTCGGCTAAACTGGTGGCAACCCTTGAGTGCGAGCGGAACTAAGATCTTTTCAGAACATCCTCCTTGGTGCAATTTCTGTTCTCTTTATGGTTTATATGGGCGTTTAATGCTGCCTAGAGTTTTTCACAATGAAACTTGGCGTGCGCTTTATATTCCACAAGGAAATGGCGCATTAATGTCTGTACTAGTACAAGTTTATGGATTGAAATACATGTTTAAAAAACGCAAATGCGCGTTAAATACGGTAACGCAGTAGACTCCTTAGAAAAAGAGCCGGCAATTGACATCCAATGAACGACCTAAACCCACCATAAAAAGAAACCCATTATGGGTTATTTTTGGTGTTTCCCAATTCATGGCTACTTATAATGTTAGTACATAAGTTTATTTTTGTTCTAAACGATGTCTTTTGCTGTAGATGTTGAGATGTCAGTTCCTAGTCGACCAACAAATTCCAGTATAACTTTTAATCTGACCATCCAAGACGAGGTGGTAGATGAAAACGACCCGATAACAATTGCTCTGACAGCTCCACAAAATACGTCATTGTACGGATTCATGAGCTTGGCAGCAGAGTCAGATCAAGAAACGTTTAGGTGAGATCAGTACAAACTTCACTTAATATTGGTGTGAAAATCGCTTTTACATCATAATTCATATGTAAATGAATATTGGATGTTATACCGTATAATTATATATCATAACAAATGCTATGTAGGGCCTATTTATTACTTCAATACAATACACGAATACATTTTTTACAGAATAGAACGTGTATGTGAATTTCTGTTTTATTTTCTCAGTTTCGAATTTGGTGAATCTTCGTGGGGGCTCTTCATTAAGGCAATCAACGGACTGTACATCAACGGAGACAAGAACCATTACTGGCTTCTTCTTGATCATACTGGAAAGCTTACACAAACAGGTACCTCAGTCTACCAGGGGCGAATCCAAAATGTTCTTGAGGGGGAACAATAGGGGGTAAACACCTACTTCAGGCCCCCCATGGTTGGGGCTGAGGCGGGCAAATTTTATGAGGCACCTCTGGACGCTCGGAAATGGCACTCTCAGATGGTAAAAATGCTTTTTCAAAGCAGTGTTCCTCGACAAAATTATTGACTTTTTCCCAACAGGAGATATGCTCCCCTCCTCTAGACTTCCCTCTCCACACGGGCGTCACGAAGGTGTAATCGAGGGCTATATATTGTCTATTCTATGCTGGGAGTCTCAGCTCTAAATTTGAAACCCACAGTCCAAGTGTAGGGTTTGTGAGAGGGGTCCAGTAGTGCCCGGATCAACACTTGGTTCACATGCATTATTAAAGGTTTAGGCATAATAAGAGAAAAAATAGGTAAGCACCAATTTTAAAGATATTTTCAAGCATGGACAGTGGCGTAACGCTGGGAACTTTTTGAGACTGAAATAGAAGGGGAAAACAGGGATGGGCTTTCACAGATGGAGGGTCCATACCACCTCAGAACCAATTGTTAGGGCTGAGGTAAGAAAATTATGATTATGGCACCTAGACAGTCGGAAATGTCAATCATTCACAGACTTAATATTTGAATATTTTATCTCCATTTTTCTTAAATTTTGACATAATATAGGTGGAACCTGGCCGGCTAGGCACCCTCACCCCCACTGGATATAATATGATATAATGTCCTACAGTCGATGTCAAAGACACATTATGCTGTGATGTATCAACAAAGCCCTTTTGGATCAGGGTGTTATAGGTCGAGGACCCTATGGGTAGGGGGAAACGAATGCAGGCCATAGAACTTAACTTCACATCATAATTAATTATGGGATGGGATTTGGAAACATTCATTTCATTATTCACAGTATGGTCAAGATAACAAACACTTGTTGTGATTTTTACGTGATGTGTGATGGGTTTTGTGGTCTTTGACTTCTATATCATGGTCTTGTGTATTCGGCGTGTTATTATATAGTATAAATTTATGAATTATCTGCTCGAATGTGCGGATTCAGTGGCGCATGCCTGGAACTTCCAGGGTAATAGCTCCCCGAACCCCACATAGTTTGGTGTTCACAACACACTCGCCATACGGGCCGTAAGTTCCGTCCCCCTCACATATTGACACTCGATTGCCAATTTTGCCATTCTCCTCCTCCTCTACCACCCCTGGCAAATTCTCTTTTTCTGGAGCCGCCATTGTAAAAAATAATTGTAAGTATTAATTATTGATCAATATATCATTGTTTTTCTTTACAGGAATGGATAATATCTACCCAGAGGATGGTGACCACTATGTCTGGACATACCGAGCACTTCTTTGAAAACTGATTGATATACAACAATGGGACCCTGCATTACACTTTTAGGCATAAAAACCATAATAACACTGTGATTTTAATTGTACAATCCCCCATTATTATTGCTATTCCTTATCATTATTAGGACTTTCAATATTATTTATATCTTCTGTTATCATATTGGTAATTATATATAGGCCTAATATATAATTTTCATCAATGAATATCCATTTTCATTTGATATATATTTTAAATTATAATTATTTGTTTAATCAATATTGTTATATTGCTCTAATTATTAGCATTATTATTACATTATTCTATTTATTATTACTATAATTGTTATTATTTACATTCGAAATATAGAGGTTCTTTAGCATGAATAGGCCTATTATGATTTCATTGTTTGAAGTCAGTATTTTTTTGGCAATGAAAAAACGGGTTGATATACGATGAGTTTTTCTTGAAATACATGTTGCACAATTGTGAGAGTTGTTAGTTATTCAATTCCAAATTATGGTAGGTTTATTATATTTAAAATAGAAGTCAGTGGCACTGAGTACATAATAGTAAATGTGTATGTTTACAATAACAGTTAAGACAGCGAACCGCTTTTTAAGGAAAATACAAAAACATATTCACCACTACTACTGTACTATGACACACACTCCTGTGAGCTTAATTGTGGTGATATGAATTGGTTTAAATCCTTGAAAAAAGGGACAATTTGATTTGATTTAATTTATTCAATATGCTCTTTAAAAAATACAACAGAAACGAATGCACATGAACAGATCAAATCACAAAAGAGCATATCGGGGATAATCCTGAAATTTCGAGAAGACAATTATTTTCATAGGGGTCCCCTACATGAAGTAATGTGAAATGAACAATTATAAATAAACTCTGCAGATTAAAAACGGTCAGGATTTTTTTTCTCACGACTAAAACTCCACTGTCTAGCCTCAACCAAAATTAAAACTTAATACTCTATATGTAGAGAATGTGAAATAGATTGCTACTGCAACAGTAACTACGACCTCTAATCATATAATATCCTTGGCCATGTATTGTACCCAAAAAATATTTTTATTGATTTGAAATTGGAATTCTCCAAATATTTTAATTAAAAAGAACATCAAAATAAAACATTATTGAAAAAGTCAATAATCAATAATTTAAATTATTTTTATAATGTTGGTATTTGTGTCTGAAACACAATCTCTGTATCAGAATGTCCGATGCGTAATGATAGGAGGTGAAACATCAACATGAAAACATCAATAAAGAGAGTTCAATTAGATCGGTTTTGAAAATTTATTGTTATTACTTTTCATTAATTGCACAGAGTAGAGTTACTATGGCAAAGAAATAAAATTCTTTGATCTATAAACTTACAAAATGGACCAAGAACAAAATTAAGGGTACTGTATGGATATAATTCTAACATATTAATTAAGAACATATGTTGTCCACTTAATAGTAGGAATAACCTTCAAGCATGTCTGGAAATTAACAATTGCATTTATTGAAATATAAAGTATATATCTGTCTCTTATACACATCTAGATGTGTGATCTGTTTTCCAAAATGTTATTTTGCCTTTGAGTTCATATATACTACATACATTTGTAAACTTGTAAAAATACAATCAATTAATTAATACTGTATATCATTAGGACACACAATACAAATTTGGTTGTAGTCTCATATTTCAAATAATGAGACTTTTCTAAAATTTGATACATAATTTCTTCAGTATGAACTTTACTTAAATTGAAACTATCAAATTTAAATCTAGTGTACATACAAAAGACGCTGGAATGAAGAGACAAGATAAGATCATGTTTAATATTCAGTGTGAAACTTGAATTACTATTTCTCAGGCAAATATAAAAACACATAATATACAGAGTGCATAACAATCGTTTATAAACTCTAGAAATAGCCCTATCAACATTCAGCTTTATATTACAATTAAATTATCTTTAAAAAATAATGATCTAAAAATGACTTAAAACCACGGATGAACTCTACAAACACTTTCCAACAAACGTCCGGGTTCTAGGTAACCTAAAGTTAGACTGTAGGATAAGTAATGAAAAACATTAAACATGTTCTACAGCCCTGTCTTGACTATCAATTTATATTTGACAAAAACATGTGACATGCCTTAATATGGTCATGATGACATCACATCATGACTATATATGGGCTTACAACAGGTTTTTTTTGTTGAAAAAATTTGGTAGCCTGGGCAAAGCTTAAGATTCAGTTAAAAAATACTACAATCTGTACTTAATGAAGCACACTGCATTCTGGATAGATGATATACAATAGTACCTTATGTAGCACATTCAGACTTTCACTATTATGGACTACTGTAATATTTTCAATAAAATCGTTATTATTGTATATCATTTATATAGCGCCTTTTCTTTGCAGATACAAAGCGCTTCTTTTTCCCTGGTCATTGGATCCACATGCTTAAGTGTTGCTGCTGGTAATTGGCGCAGGAGCATTTAACCCCACCAGGTACCTATTTATACTACTGGGTAGAGAGAAGAAATGCAGGCAAAGTGCCTTGCTCAAGGATACAAGCAAAATGTACAGCTGGGAATTAAAACTCCAACTTCGAGGGTTGGGAAACCAAACTTTTCTCGCTGCGCCAAACCACCTCTATTATTTAAATTGATTACACACATTTTCTTCTAGTTTCAAAATACACAAAATCAGCGTAGAGGGCAGGCTACAGTTATTAGTAAACTAAAAGTTTACTAAATAGTGGTTAAATGGAGGCTGGTTAGAATGAACATTTGCTTGGGTATGGGATATTTCACACATCTATCCTGAGTATCCATAAAATCAAGCTAAACAAGTTAATTAAGTTAAGCAAGTTGACCAATTAATTAAGTTTACCAAGTTAACTAAGTTAAGCAAGTTGACCAAGTTAAGTAAATTGACCAAGTTGACATAGTTAACAAAATTGACCAAGTTAATCAAGTTGGAAGTAACCAAGACATTGCTAAAATCAATGACTAATTGCACCATCTGGTCTAGATTTTTTACTGTAAATCTCAATCCCATGCTGACCGTCGTGTCCTAGGATGTGACTGAAATAAAACAAGAGATACAACTTGTTACTAATCATCGGACACCCAAAGTAATTAAAATAAGTTTTTTCCCTAGTTGTTGCGGCTTCATCAGGTGTATGATATCGTAAGAAATGTCTTCCTATCATACACTGTTAAACATTATACATTGTATTTTTTTAACAAAATACTTTTCTTTTTGTCCATAGGCCTGCTGGACCTTTTTTTAACTTTGTGATTGTACATTTAAACTTACTTACTCATCGTCGTGTTTGTGTCAATTGTTATTGTATTTTTATGTCCTTCGTAAATTGCACCCACAATGAAACTGATTGTCTATGTGACCTAATATTTAACCCAATTTCAATGTACGATGACTTCAATACAGATATTGACCCAGACCTCCAATTCTTTTTGAATGACGATTTACCCCAATAATTTCTCCAAACACTTTTATATTAAAAAAGAAATAAGCATTTTAACTATTCATTTTGAGTCAGAAGCATCCATCATATTTTTTATCCCATACACATTCTACTAAATTCTTAAATTTTAACTTTGATTTGATTAATATTTCAGAAAGCTGGTTAAAACACAATAACACACTAACCCAGATTCTAAATTATTATTTTTTTTCCAATCACAGGAAGTTAAAAGGTGGTAGTGATGTAGCTATGTTCCTCCAAAACGAACTGTCTTTCGAAGTAAAAGAAGTTTTGGCAATTGAATTATCTATTTGTGACTCCCTTTTTATTGAAATTCAAGAAAAGTCGTCAAAAAATAGTGTTACTGGTAGTATTTAAATGCGACCCTCATTAAATGCGACTGCTTTAATCACAGAAAGATTAATGACCATAATATTCAGTGTTTCAAACAAGAACTACAAGCTACATCTTGTAATCGTGTATTTTCTTATTAAGGCCCTCATGGCTTACAACTCTTTTTAATATATATATTTAACTAAACACACATATTACAAAAATTTCCCTTATGAACAACGTCCAAAAAAAGAAAAAAAAACCCCTAAGTCCTGGATGACCAATAGCCTATTAAAATGTACTAAACATAAGCAAAAATTGTATTTCAAATTCCTACACAATACACTGGAACGAAACAAGATAAACATTTTCGGAGTAAGCACAAACTTTGATTTGACAAGTCAAAGCTGACTATTTTAAGGACACAAAAATGATATCAAAGGAACATGGAAAATCATAAATTTTCTATTTAACAAACCTCAAACTAGCCTAAGTGATGCAAACATAAACTGTAATGGGATTTTATCCACTGATTAAAATTGTTAAAATTGTAAACTCCTCCAAGAACAATTATTTGAAAAACACCTTTTATCACCGCATTCCCCAGCCCCTGTCTCTTATACACATCTAGATGTGGTATAAGAGACAGGGGTAGAGAGAAGAACCCCTCCCATTTATATTTAGGGTTGGAAATTTCATTGATTCTATTACTTGTTCTAATTCCATACCTGTGGTTCATATCCATGCAATGACATTCTTGAGGCTTCTTGACGAAGCATTTCTTCATACCCACGTTCAGCTTCTTCTTCCATTTGCTTCTCTTGCAGTTCTCGCCTAATAGCTTTCTGAACTCTCTCATTCTTTTCGGAGATCTGGAAAGAAAAAATAAAATAATGGGAATTTAGTTTTAATATGCTTTGAAACAATAGTATATGTGGCAAAGACAAGCCAAACCAGTCACTCCTCAATTAGATTTTTAGTTATTGATACAGGGTTAAGCAGTAAAATGAAAGTTCTAAAATATTAAAGAATAATTTAAATCTGACATTTCCTACAGACGTTAAACATACAGCTGTGAAAGAACAGTATTTAGAAATCAGTCTTCAAAGTTTACAATTTTGGCTATTTCTCAGGCAGAGACCATCACCAAATTGTAAACTTAATTTAACATCGAAAATTGGGGAAAATAACAACATGACATGATGATGGTGTCATTTGATTTGATTTTGATTTATCAAATACCTCCAACTAGAAGATAGTGGTTCCAAGTTGGTAGACACCACTTTCCAGGAGATCTGGTTAAATAGCTTTTTTACTAAACATTTTATTGAAATTTGCTGAGCATGATGATGCACATGTCCAGTTTATAGGATGTTGATAGGCATGTAGTTGCCCCTTTCCAACCTCCTTTTATCCAAAATGATCTTATAGGTGGCAAGGACAGGCAAAACCAGTCACTCCTTGCAAAAGTTGATTTTTAGTTATTAATACAGGGTTAAACAGCAAAATGAAAGTTATAAAATGGTGAAAGAATCAGTTAGAGGGGTTTAAACATAAAGCTGTTTAGATAACAGAATCTGAGAAATCAATCTTCAAAGTTTTGAGGAATTCTCAAGCAGGGACCATCACCACAGCATTAAGAAATGTTGTTTTAACACTGAAAATGGGAAAAATAACAACATAGCATGATGTATAGATACATAAGGATTAGTTTAGTGCAATAAAATAGATTTTTAAAATTTTGACATTTCAAGGTTTTGGCCATTATCTTCAAAACATGATTTGCGAGGAGTGACTGGTTTGGCTTGTCTTCGCCACATAATTATATAATATTTGTAACACATGTAAATGTTAAAAGAAAAACATATTTTGTTTTGGATAATGAAGAAGAGAGATAACTTCTGGGAGACAAGTAATAATACAGTAGTAAAAAGGTAGTCCTGTATTCAATATTGAACGTAAGGGAATGAGCTTGGTATTGTGTGGTAGGGTGGCCAGTTATTTTCCACGCCACCTTTTCCTCCCCAGTAGTGAACCACCGGGTACCCATTTATACTCTTGAGTGGAGAGAGACAAGTAGGTAAAGTGCCTTGTCCAAGAACACAAGCGAGATACACAGCAAAGGTTCGAACCCCCGATCTCAAGGTTGAGAGACCAAAACGTAACCGCTGCGGCAACCGCTTTCAAAGTACAGTAGTAAAAACATGCAAACACTCAAAATTAGCATAGTCAGGGGACCATGCTAATTTCTAGTAGACTCTTGCAACTACCTTGGGACCCCTGAGCCCATGAGTCGAACACCATTTCTTGTTTAGTACTTACGGCTCATATTACAACCGGCAGAAGAACACTTTTTATCCTTATGATTCTACTACCATATTATCTAATGACTCTTACGACTTACTTGGTCTTGGATCTCACGATGCGTTTGCTGCTTCTGTCGTGCAGTTGCGGCCTTATCTCGTGCCGTCATCTGTTGAGCAACCTCAAGCTCACGTAGTAAATCTTCTCTTTGCTGGAGAGATTCTTCTTGTCTTCGTTGGTTCTCCTCTATCTTACTCTTAACCTGTGTCAGCCGTCCAGCTAAGACCTACAAGTGATAATTATTAAAATATGGTTAATAATAATATATTTAATGCTTGTGGTACACCACGTAGAAAAATTTTATATTTATTTTTATTATGCCCTCTGCTCCCCTGAAATATCCAAAAATAATATATATATATATTATTTCTTCCTTAGGCAAGACTTTTCTATACTTTGTTTCGCGAACCCGCTGCTCGCCAATATTTAGGATTTCAAATAAAAATAAAATTCAATTGTGCACCCGCCACCAAAAACTAGAAATATCAGAAGAAATAAAAAATTTTTCTTTTTTGTTATTACTGTATGCTTGCCGCTGCCTTGCTATCTCTAAAAATAAGATACAGTTAAACTTGCCTAAGTCAAATAATTTCTAAGTCGATCTTATTTTACAAACCAAATTGTTGTGTTTTCCATTAATTAACAATCTGTAAGTCGAATTTTATCTGAGTCGAACAATATTTCAATGGCATTTTGGATTCGACTTAGGCAAGTTCAACTTTATGTATATTTCTTCCTCATTATTATAAAAATTTAAAGCATTTAACCATCCAATTACTACACTGTTTAATTCATTAATAATTTTCTCCTCCACCCAGATGGTTTTGGCAAAATCATTTTGCTAAATAAACACAATTTAATTTTTTTTTCTGCCCTCCTCTGACAATCTTTAAAAAAATTATTTTGTGATACAAGGTGTAAAAAAGGGTTTCGCATACAGTACAGAAAAATGAATTAACATAAAACCTACCTCTGACATGAGTCGTTCCCTAGCCAACCTTTCTCGTTCCCATTCAGCTTCTCTCTTGTTCCACTGCCTCTGGGCTTCTTCCCTATAAGTTTTATAAATATATATTTTATTGAAAATTCACTTACTTGATCATTTTAAATGAGCTTACTCTATATCTTTTATCCAATTTCCAATTTCTTTTATTACATTTTACAACCAACAATATATGACCTGAGTGTTTGGCGAGAGGAAAATGTTCCTGTGTCTTCTTCCGCTGAAGACCCCGGTTCAAATCCAGTCAACGTAAGTTGGAGGCGATTGCTAGGCTCCTCTAATAACCCTCGCATGAGGGACAGAAGACATGGTACTGGCACCGTATTATGGCAGCTGTGGGGCCCCAGGCCCCAGCTGTAATTTCCGATGAATGAATGACAAAAATGAAATAATAAATTAAAAAATATTAAATTAAATAACTTTAATTTACCTATAAAGCATGTCAAGCTCAGCCTCTCTGGCTTTCTCCAGTTGTATTTGCTCGTCAACAACTTGTCTCATCCACGCTGCATCTGCTTGTGCCTTCTCACGCCGTGCACTCTGCAATCCTTTGTCCTCCTCCTCTTTCTCTGCTAAAGCTTCCAAAATTTTTCTGTCCATTTCCTAGCAAAGTTATATTCATTTGTAAAGTTTTATTGAGAGAAAGAAATATATTTTCTGAAATATCCACATCAAACTACAAAAATGAATTTCCATATTTTTGTAAAGAAAGTGAACAATAAATGGTACTGTATATAAGTAATATTCATATCAAGGTTTGAGAATCAGAAGCTATCAATTTTTAACAGCCAGAAAAAAGTGAATGCACAGTGAACAACCATTGTGTGATTTTGTCAGAGCCTTACTAATGCTTTTTGAACTTCTTGTGATTTTCGTCTCAGTTGAGCCTTGTATTGACGAGACAGAAACTGACCAAGCTGTGTCTGTTTACGCTGTTCTTCAAGTTTATATCGCTCTTCCTCCAATTTCTCTAACTCCCATTGCTCCTGCATTAACGCTGCTTCTTCGTTCTTCAGTTTTTCAGCCTACAAATTAGAAAGAAATATTTTGTATTAGTGACAAATCAGTAGTGATTAATGCAACGTTCACAGTTTGGCTCATTTTCTCGCACTACGTTTTTCACACTATTTTTCATACGAGCCGCTCCTTGTCATATCCCTTAACCCACATGGTTTTGTAACAGGCAGTCCGTACGTCATGTCGTTCAATTCATGCATGTGTACAAGATCAACATCCTTGTTCAACATTGTTTACAAAGTTATAGTGACGAAATCATGGTGCGTAGGTATAGTACTTACATTTTTATTTAATAGTATAAATAACATAAAGTAAATAAAACTAAACATTGATTTTCTGTTAATACTTTGTGACATCGTACTGCGTGTAGTTACATGACATCAATCAATCAATCAATCACTTATTGCAACTATCATGGACAATCAATAAAAGGGCACAACAATAAGTCAAAATATTGTTTGAAGGTCTGCATGGCAAAGTAATAATATATTAAATGTTTGCGATACACCATGTAGATAGTTCTGAAAAGAGCTTTTTTGTTAAGAACGTCTCAACGTTTCGTCTCAATGTTTTGATAGAGTCTCTTCAATTGTCTTCAAGAGAATAATATCTAGTATTATTCTCCTGATGACGACTGAAGCAAATCAATTGAAATGTTGAGATATTCTCAACAAAACAACATGGAGGTTATACTGTAAAAATAAAATAATTTTTAATTTACTTCAAACTCGCGTTGCTTCAACTCCATCATCTGCTCTTTCAGTTCACTTGCTCGTATCTTCTCCTCCTGTAACCTGGCCTCCTGTGCCTGATGGTCCTTCTCTATGGCTGCCAACCGTTCCATCTCTAATCTATAATCATCTTTCCTTTCTTGTTCTCTCGCTGTAGTCCTCCTATCTGTCGTTTCCTGGATTTGTTCTCCCCACCTTTGAATAACATGTTTCTTATGCATATTTGATTCAAGCTGGGAATAAAATTAAAAAGAAAAAAATAAATGGAAAAATGAAATAATATCTGAGATTAGAAACCATTGTCCTGTTGTGTCATTTCTATGGACTGAAAGAATAATGGCTCGCGATCGATTAGCTTCAGTCGGTTCGGCCTAGCCAAATGAAGCCTAGCATCCGCCGGTCAGAATTTGTCACATGCCCTACTCTGGCTCGTGGTCGATCTGTTCTAGTCGGCTTGGCCTAGCCAAACCAGGCCAAACATTTGAGTTGGCTATGTCTGTTGCAGCCAGAAAATATATAAATAACATTTTAAATTCCCCATCTTACTTCAGATCAGCATCAATTGAAAGAGGATTTTGAGTTATGCGCCCGAAAGGACACACACACACACACACACACACACAGACGCATGCTACACAGACATGCACAGAGATGAGGGTAAGAAGGTTTTTTGCAAATGTCATTGTTAAAAATGTTCTGTCAACATACTTTTCTTAAATCTGGATTATTCTTTTTCCAATGCTCATACATTTTTTCATCTGCAATCTGAAAACAAATATAAAACAAGTTATCATCATTATTTTTTGTTGCTGCTGCGACTTATAACATTATAATCATCATCATCATCATCATCATTATACCAGACTGCTTCAGTCCATGCTTGCATGCCATTTCTATAAATTAAAGTTTAATAGTAAATTCTAACAACCACTTTCACGGTCAAATACATCTATAAAGAATTCTGTAAAACTAGATAACGAAGTCTTTTCAAACTGGAAGTTTAGATCATCCCAGCTTGAGTGCCCAATAAAATACAGAAGTTTTTCTAACCTGTTGGCGTTCTCTTTCACGTTTACTTTTAATTTCATTTGTTCTGTCTTTCATATCTGATAACCGCATGTAGTTTCCTGTGGACAGCCCTCTTAATTCAGCTTCCAACTCATCCTTTTCATCTTGGAGTAGAATCTTGAGCCGTTCCCTTCGAGCTTGCAGTTTCTGTGCCTTCTCTTCGCTGGCATTTCGTGATCTGTATGTATCCATACTAAAAATGTAAAAGTACTTAATATTTCACATGTTTTATCAAACGAACTGCTTCCATTTATCTCTTTACTTGATAATAAATAAAAGGCACTTAAATAATAATTGATTATTAAAGATAATATGTTAATAATATTTCAATAATATCAAATTCTTAACAGTCATATTTAAGAAAAATCGCCAAAAATTAGGACCTTGTTGGCCTATCTCTCAATATATAACCGATATATGTATATGCAGTAGTTACGATTTTGGAAATACTGTATATTCTTTTTATGTTTCCCCGGCAAAATTATAATACTTTGAAGTATGTAATCTTAGATTTTATTGATTCTTCTGGACAAAACAAAGCATAGAAATAAATTAACCTTGATTGGAAAGACCTTTCTGACATCCATCCACTTTGTTTGACTGCCTCTACACCCCTTTTTTGGAAATACTTTGCATTGTTATCCCATTTGTCTCGAAAATCAGCTTCGTTTTGCCGCCGTGAAACCATGTTGCGCTCCTGGATATTCTTGTAGCGTTGCGTCCAGTATGCAGGCATTGTTGGAAGAGCCATGGTGACAATTTACTAAAGATTTCCAGTTTAACTACTTCAAATATATTTCTTAAATCTTGATACAAAAATATAGTACTGTACAATCTTTAAAATAGCACTTTGTAGCCTGTAGGTCACTGCAAACATTTATTGCCAAAAATACACAATGTTCCTACCATTTCTGAAAATATGTAAAAGAAAGTGGTAATACCCAAAAATTGTACCCGAGCGAGAAAGTTTTATGCAAATCTAACAGTCATTCACGCAACAATTTATTAGCCTACCTCTGCTGCTTAATATAATAGCTTTACACAAACAGGTAGGTATTTGATCTCATTATTTATTTATAAGCAGATAGCTACTGTTTAGGCTAGGTCTTAGCCTAGTTACCAGATTCTAAAGTTAGATGGCAATGTCAATAATGAATAAAACGCCACACTCCAACTGGGTCTGAGAGCACACTATTCCAAGCCTTGGCTTAAAGTAGTCTAGCATCCATGCCTTGCCTTGGGCCTTGCTACTAGTACTAGCGTAGGCCTAGGTCCAAACCCTATGAAGAGTATCATTGTAGGCCGAGAAGTACAGAAGTGTAGGCACTCGTCCTACTCTAACTACGTACCACCCTCTCCAGCAGTAGCCTGCCCAGCGGCAACCTATAGTAGGCCTAGGCCTAACCTAGGCTGGCCCTCCATATTCTATCTACTGTTTGAACTAGGCCTATATACAGAAAGATAGTACTATATGAACACTAAATGATGTCATATTTTGTTACCTTCGCACACATAATTTCAGTGGTTTTATTGAGATAATTGGCCAAGCGATTAAGTTGTTGTGGTTGTCAACTAATGTTGAGAGAAAATTTTAAATCAGGTACGACCGCCCTCATTTGATAGATGATTGGAGTAAATTTTTTCGGAAGTACGAACCAACAACCATCCACCACTCAAGGTCATTATCAAATTATCATCATGATAAGAATGTAAGGCAGAGATTTGCTATTTTTTGGCCATTTTTGTCAACATGGCAGGCAATAAACCCACCGAATGGGTTTTGAAGGTTCTGTCAAGATTTGAAGAACAGGTAAATAGAATCTAGTTGAGTGTCGGTGGCTAGGCGGATTGTTTTTGGAGGTATTCTTTGGATTGTGGTAGAGCCTAGGGTGGTCGGCGTATAGAGATAGTGTTGAGCGGTAGGTAGGTAGTGTGCTGTGCGAGTTGATTGTCGTATGTTCGATGCATCTCGTTGGGTTGAGAATGTTTTGGTTTGCATTTTGCAACAAATTGTATTTTATACTCATTAAAATCTCTTAATATTTTGCTGATTGTTAATGTATTCCTTGCTTGTTAATGTTACATTAGATGGTAAGTCTTGACAATAATATCAAACAGAATTTGTCTTGATTAATTTTTTGAGTGAAAAAAGTTTGTTTATGTTATGTTTGTCTAAACAGTCACTCAATTAAATTGAACGCTGTGGCTAGGTATGGGGTACCGTATCTCTCATTCTATTTGCTAAAGGTACAGTAAATTGCATTACATCACCGTCACCCAATGAAGTGCTGGAGTGTGTGTGATGTCATCTTTTAAGACTGGCATTGCAGGTTGTGTCCTCGGTACGGTGTGTGACGACCGAACGATGTACTGTACAGTCTTGAAAGATGATGTTACACACATTCTGGCACTTCATCTGGTGATGGTGACGTAATGCCATTTACCGTATTTTTAGCAAACAGAGGTAGAGATATGGTACCGTATCCCTAGCCACGGCGTAAATTGAATGTAGGCCTAAAGTTACTATTGCATATTATCATGTAATACAATTTAGTGCCAGTGGGTTGCATAGTAAATTTTATAGTTTAAGTTAAATACAATGAAACCTGTTAAAAATACATGTATTTATGTGTGATTTATTGTTGTTATACACTAAAAACTACTGAATCAAAATCAGCTCAGATGTAGAGTACTGCTTTACAAACTGACACATACCTCATGGTAACTAATACTGTGTACACTATGATTTGGAGAATAATTGATAACATTATTATTAGGTTTGCATGTCAAAAACTCTGTAAGGTACGGAAATGACGTACTTCATGTATGTCACCTTAACATCGTGTAATGTGCAATGTGCACACATTTGGTAGTGTGCTTTGGCCTGTAATGAAGAAAAAGTAAAGCGCAAATTGTCGTACCTATTCATTTGTTGGGTTATAATATTTTACAATTGAACCCTGAACCTTTAAATATGAGTAAATTGGGTACCAGTAGTTTCTAGTTCTAGTCAAGCATTTTGCTTCACTACCATGCATACCAAAAGATACAAAGAAGGATTTTGATGATAGTAAATTCAGACTAAAGATCCCATTTATTCTAATAACAGCATCAACCCATTAACATGGATAGTGGCACCTGAGGCTGGCTACACAGTGATTTTCATAACATCATGTTATTACTGTACTACAGAAGTTGATTTTGTTCACTTTTATACAATTGGTTTATAATGAAACAGTTATAGTTGTAAATTGCATTGCATATGTTCTGTCTTGTTCACTGAAAACAAATATCACATAGAAAGGTAATGAATCATGCCTTCTTGAAGGGAATTTAGAATCTTAAAATTTTCATGTTGGTCGTATATGTGGGCCTTGTATTTAAAAAAAAAAATAAAGTGTGTCGGATACAATTGTTTATAAAATGTAAATGCCTGAAAAGGCTCTAGTTCTTGAGGAACAGTATATTGTTGGTGTACTGTATCAGGCCTGGGAAAAAGTATTTTTGCCTCTGACCATGATAGTTGTCTCTAAAAAATTCCTCGCACAGGCCAGTATTGAGTAAGTAATAGATAAAATATATAGCAGCTCAAAATTTTGCCTAAAAACTTTTTTGTTCACTATAGATTAGCAATTTAATATCTACAGTAATTAATCATGTCTAAGTTCTGGAAGTAGTCAACAAATTGTTTATTTAACACCATTTTGATTGACCTGATTTTATTATTCAATGTATGCACAAATAACTCTGGAAGGCAAATACTGTACTCAAAATAATGTTTACCTTGACTCTATGAGTTCTGTACTTCCACTTCCAAATAACTAAGGCTTGAAATGTCCAATTTTAATGAATGTCCCCTCATTTTAAAGATTACATGTGCTCAAGTGTCTGAAAGTACTAATACTGTAAATTAAGTTTCAATTTTTTCTACAACTTAGCCATTTTACTACAACATGCCTCATATTATCTATACACTGTATAGCCCCGATATTCAAGCCCTGGCCCACGGGCCAAATGCTGCACGCCAAAGATTTTGATCCGGTTCCCTGCGAAACATTGCTAAAAATAAATCATTTTCTGACCAATTTTTAGAACAAGTTTTTCTGTTTAGAGCAACACCACATAGGCACCCCTACTTTAGCAATGTTTACAAGAGTGTGGTTTTTTTCTGAGTGTAGCTCACTGTATCTAGTGGCCTAGGGCACGGGCATGTGGAGGGGTAGATTAATGGGGACAATGGATTAAGTGAGACACTGATATGATGCGATGTCTAACCATTTGTGAAACCAGCAGGCTTGGGCATGTTATTCTGTTGAAAACACTGCTTTGAAAATTTATTTTTGAGTCTGAAAGTGCAATTTCCAGAAATGTAGAGGTATCTATGTTGAAAATGTGCTCCCCTCAATCCCAACCACTGGTGAGTGGATATTTTCGTAGTAGAAAAATTTCTAGTGGCAGGGTAGGAGAACCTGGAGTGCAGGATTTTGGTTTTTTTTTTTTTTTTTTAATTCTAAAAGAAAGAAAAAAGAAGAAAAGAAAATTCAATTCAAATTTAAGTCTGAGAGTGACATTTCTGACCATCTGCAGTGCCATAATCATAAATTTTCTTGCCTCAGTCCTAACCATGTTGGGGCTGAGGTGGTATTTTTCCCTATCTGTGAAAGTTGTTCTCTGGCCCCTTCTCTTTCGAATTCACCGCTATAAAAGAAAATGGAAGTACACAATTTATGTCGGCCCGCCACTGGTTTTAACAAATCGGAACTGGCCCCCAGCTTAAAAAGGTTGAATACCAGGGCTACAGTATATAGCCAAACTGTTAAAAAAAATTTTGTTTCCCCAAAATGTTGCCTCGACCGGCGTCACATGGTTGCACTTTTTACAGCCCTGACCATATACACCACAGCTCCTGCTGCTGAACCGTGCTTAAGACCCCAGGGCCCTAGCATCTAGGCTACCGTAAGGCTCTCGTTTGTTTTAAGCAATGAGATTTCTGAAATTCCTATCGAAAAATGGAAGGTTGGACATAGAAAATATAGATGTTTGATTGACATAAACTGCTTTTGGAGGTGAGATGATGAAAACAAGGTGGTTTGATAAGCATTAGACAAGCTATGCTTGTCTAGGACATAACAATCCTTGACTGAAAATTATCTTAATCTATGTGTGGGGTGATGAATTGTTAATTGTCTAATGTAATCTGGGGCCTTATTGTGAATTTCTTTGTATGTTCACAGTAGAATTGTTATGGTGAGCTTTCTCTAATACAGTAGACAGCCAGTGAAGGTCATGGTAAAACAGTGTGTGCATTGTTTTGTTTTTGCTATTACACGATTTGCAATATTTTTTTATCCTGTAATTTCTGTTTTGATACTATTGAAAGATCATACAGTTTCAAGGAGTATTTAATAATAATAGTTATGTTCAGATGACTTTCTGTCTGAAATAATGTTACGACAAATGGAAAATTTTACGTGTGTGTTACTTCAGACGAATCTCCACACAATGTTTACCCAGGACAACTATTTCAAAGTTTAGAAGTAACTATGCAAATTTTCCAGAAGTCATAGTCACCACTTCGTTGTCTCTTACGGTTATTTGCACATATTTTTTTGAAATTGTATACAATTATGAAAACTAACAGGATATTTTATTTTAGCACTCATTTGTAGGTGTTTATCTTTTGAAAATAATTGAGGTAAGAAAAAGTTTGCATTTACTTGCGAGCTCTTATCTTGCTTTTGTATGCGGAAGTAGCACACTTGCTCCTGAGACTGCTCAGGAGGAAACTTAATACAAAGAGCGTCTTCACGGGCACTACCCAGGGCTTACGAAAAGTAAACTGAGCTCAAAGCCTACTTCTAAACATGTGTGAACGTGCATATTGATATTAAACAATTGAGGCATGTTGTGGCAAAATGGCTAAGTTGTAGCAAAAATTGAATTTCAAGTCATTGGTATTTTCAGGTACCTGAGTATGTGATCTTTTTTGGACATTTCAAGTCTAAGTTATTGGAAAATAAAAGTACAGCACACTTTGAGTCAAGATAAACATGATTTTGAGTAATTGGCTTCCAAAACTATTTGTGCATACATTGTTTATCTATCTAAATAACATTAAATAAATGACTTATTGTCCATTTCCAGAACTAATACTTTGGGACATGATTAATAAGACATTAAACTGTTGATCTATAGTGAAAACAATATTTGGATTTTTAGGCATTTTTTGGGGCTCCCATATTTTATAGCTCATTTAATCAATACTGGCTTGTGCGACAATTTCACCATTTTGCCACGGCATGCCTTAATTTATTAATATCATGTTGACATGTGGCAAAAATGTCTGTACCCTTAATGCTGATCAACCCAAAATCTAGAATCAACTTTTTTTATTTTTTTCTAAAAATATGTTTTCCCCAAGGAGGACCCCAAAATACTTAAATTATTAATAATTTCAAACCAACCATGGGTTTTAGCCAAGTGATATATTTGTTATTGACAATCATTGGTGCATGCCTTATGTGCCAAAATAAATAAATAATTTTTTTGGCCTATTTTACATTTTTGTTGCATTTATTCAATCCCAATTGTTCTTTTTTTTTTTTCAATAGCTGCCGATTAGTGCAAGTGGACAGCCAAGTATTGTAGCTATTGATAGGGAACAGACTAAAGAATGCCTGATTGCAGTGAGCAAGAACCGCTTTACGGAGGTGATCACGAGGCTGACGATGATCTTAAACAAATTACATACCAACGTGCCACCACTGGTAAATACCTTCTTAAATATCTTGACCTCTACAATAAAGTACTGGTATATTTTATTTCTAAATTAATAAATACCATAGGCAGCAGACGATGACAATGACGGCGGTGATGACAACGGTAACCATGGTAATGGTAATACCTCTATTTTATTAATGATCGGATGAATCATATGGATAAAGATTATTTATAAAGGAATCTTAAAAATTATGATTGATAGTCAATGATACTACTACTATAGTGTAATGATCAATGAAGATATGTGTTAGGTAAAGTTCCAGGGCATCACATACAGTATGTAGAATGCAGAGGAGCACTAAATTGCTCTCCTTGAAAATTTCCCCGCTTTGAATGAACTCCCCACCCCCTCAAATAAACAGAGGAGTGGAGGAGCCCTAAAGTTCATGTTAGGTCGTTGTGGCACATGTTGTTAACACAATGTGATGGATGTTCCAACATGGAGGTATTATTGAGAAGGAGATCACTCGGCAACAGTTTCCTTTGACGTGACAAACCCATGTGTTCCCCGCTTTTGCATTGCGTGCGGGCGTATTACCCTATAATTCACATTTTTTCGTTAGCAACAACTTGGCAACGACATGCATTTATACGCTTCCAGCAGAGCAGTTGTGCAATAAAGCGTTTGATT